TCAGTATTAGATTACAGATTATATAATATATATATATATATATATATTATTATTATATTATATATTATATTTCAGCTAACTGTTGCTGAAAATGTATGTAAAACAACTCAATTGAAGAGAGAAAGTAGTTCATTTTCTCGGTCAGATATGTCAATAAAGTTAGTGTCCATGTTAGTTTTAAAAGTCAAGGTTGGTTTATTGACAAATCCCTGTCATTTTTTCAAAATCATCTTTGTACTTACTTCCTACTTTTTCCATGACAGAAAACCTAAATCTAACTTACGAAGGTGATGTGAGGGGACCAGGTTATGTGAGTTTGAGGAGAATATAAATGAACAAAGATCAAATGTATGTCATTTGTAGATCATTGCTCTTAAAGTGTAACTTAAAGGTTGATATTCTATGTGTATATATCCAAGGTTTACTCAACAATTAATGGTATTTTATGTTGACATTTTCACAAGTAGCATATTTAATCAGAATGGTTTATCCTAGTTCACTGCTGTTGTTGAGAAATCCTACCAATGTCTGCAGCAGAGAGAGAAAGGCTACAGTAAACGTGGACTGACCACAAATATACCAGCTGCACAAAAATCTATTTGGCAATATGTACAACATGTAAACAGTCTGTGTGTATAGTAGATAAATAGAATTGTGAAATAATTTGAGCTGTTATCTATTTTTTTAGCAGCAGCCAAAAGATAAAAGAGAGAAAGCAGTAACAGTTACTGTAACAGCTAAACCTGGTTCTGTTGCTGTGTTTCTCTAATCGGGCTGAGAAAAACCTTGAGGGGAAAATGTCACTGAACTAAATCATATTTAGTCTGATGTTTAGAGAGAGACACAGAGAGAGAAATGTATGTGCATCATCATCTGTTAAATATTACTGCCTACTATTTACTACTATATCCTCATACTGGAAGGAGGAGGGAAGAGAAATGTTTCCACATTAGAAGCAAATGACTTATAGATCAATCCATCGTGTAAAACTTACACAAAGCAATACAGGGCAGTTTGAATAGATGTTGCAGAAGCCTTGCTTCAGGAGCTGCCCAGACAGGAATCATTGTACAATCTGATGGCTGCTGACAGAAA